TAACTCAAATCTAAGTATGTAAGTCAAGTCAATATTTTCCTAGGAGAGTGGTTTGTAAGTCAAAATGTTCTTAACTCGGCCCGTTCTTAAGTCAAGACCCCACTGTATCCTCTCTACTTGTATCCTCAGTGACCAATTGCCCAAAAGGCAAGAGTGCAGTAAGGTTTGGAGCAATGTAATGGGCAATAGAACAGAATTACCTCTATTCAGGGTAAATTTGACCAGAAATCTCTCTCTCTCTCTCTCTCTCCTCTTCTTTTCTCCTAGTTTATTCCAGATTCCAAAAACATTTTTTTTAAATTTTATTTGAAAAAAGGATAGCAACTATTGTAAACAAAGGTGATGTGAAACAGGTTGGGCAAACGTTCACTTCGAGGGATCAGCTTTGTTTCTCACTAGAAATGCTGAATTGCCTCATCCTAAGCTAGGTGAGGGATGGACATACACCCACTGTTTCCTGTTGCAGAAAAGTAAGGAGGGGATGGGCAGAGGAGAAGAAGCCTTGTTGGGAGCCACAAATCCTTGTGGATCTATTACACCTTCTTTAGAATACTGTACTACCAGTAGGTCAGTATCTATAATTGCCCACGTGAACTGATTTCTAAGCTACTGTGGTCACAAAATATGAGCTGGCCATCAGAGGAGACAATTCCTAGCCACCTGTATCAGTGATCATTGCTTTTGATTGCCTATTTTTTTCTTATAGAAGATTATCAACAGAAGAAGCTACAAGATGGGCAGATTCCTTTGATGTTCTTCTGTCCCACAAATGTAAGTAGACATCACCAGTCTCTTGCAATGTATTTCTTGCCCTCCATTCTTCGCAATTTACTGATGGGTTTATAATGAGGCTTATTTCTTGATTGCTTCACGGTGCCGAACGGGGGTGGGGGAGCAGGATCCACATCTCTTAAGAAGCATACTAAATGGTACTCCTAGGGGATTTTCATTTCCAAGCTTCAAACTGACTTAATCCTTCAATCAAATCTGTGATTTCAGTGTAGGATCAAATAAATGAGAAAATTTGTTTGATCTGTTTTCCATGCCTCACTGATAATATTCTCAAATGGCAAAATAGTATAAAAGAATGTCAAACAGTAATTTTTAGAGATGGTGAGCAACTTTTCAGTGTGGGATACATTACCACCCCAAACCCATTTGGGGCTGCATCCTCTTCTTGTCACTTCCGTTGACATGCCACTGAAATTCAGTGACACAACAGAAGCCAAATATAGCTGAAGAAATCCCTGGCTAAACCCAATAGTAAGTCACAACTAGAGTAAGTTAATTGAATCATTGGAACTTATTAAGGAATTGACTCACCCCATCCCTGCTGATTCAATGGGCCTGCTTTAGTTGTGATTTACTACTGGATTTCAGCCCCTGTATCTTCAGGATCAAAGCATATATGACAGGACAATCATGTTCGTTCATATGCTTTCCTGGGTTCATGTATAAAGTAGAGAGGTTGAGCTTCTTGTTTCCTCTGTTTCACACTGGTAAAACAGGGGTATGATGCTAAATGAAGCAGATCCATCATCCACTCCCCAGTTTTATCTTCTAGTACACTGGAAAGGGGTATGATGCTAAATGAAGCAGATTCATCATCCACTCCCCAGTTTTATCTTCTAGTACTCTTATGTTTCAGATATTTTACACCTCAGCTTGGGTAATATCCACTATCTATTAAAGAAATTGGGATGTAAGGTAGAAATGGGGAGCATTAAGCTCCCCTCATCAGCCTACCTCCCCTTATACTATAAAAGATAATCCCCCTTAATTCATATAAGAAAAGGGAAAGGGGAAAGTGTCGGGAAACATCAGTGGGTCCAAAATACCACAGCCCGATTGTTAACTAAGGCTGGTCACAGGGATCACATAACCGCTCCCCCCCGCCTTTTACAGCAGCTCCACTATCTGCCAATCTGGTTCTGGGCACAGTTCAAAGTTGTAAGCCACCTTGGGGCTCCTTATTAGGAGAAAGGCTGCCTATAAATAAAACAACCAAGCTTTAAAAAAAGTGCTGGTCCTAACCTATAAAGCCCTAAATGGCTTGCGCCCAAGCTATCTCAAAAACTGTGTCTCCCTTTACGAGCCTCTTCAAGTATTAAAATCAACAGGAGAAGCCTTTCTCTCGGTTCCACCACCCTCACAGGTGTGTTGTGGGTGGTACGGGAGAGGGCCCTCTCTGTCGCTGCTCCCAGACTTACTCCCTCCCACAGGAGACCAGTCCAGCCCCATTTCTACTGTCCTTCCACAAGTAGACAAAGACCTTTCTCTTCAAGCAAGCTTTCCTTTAGTAACTCACTGCCTGTCTGAGTTTTGTTTTTACTGGATTGTTATGCCTTACTGCTTGGAATGTATTTTTGGTACTGCTTTTGTTTACTATTTTTAGTGTGGTATTTGTTTAATCCTTTTCAATATTTGTATTCTTGCTGTTTTTAGTTTTAGATACTTATTTTGATCATGTGAGCTGCCTTTGGTCCTCTTTGAGAAGAAAGGCAAATTAAAAACATATTTTAAATAAATAAAATAAATAACATGGTGTTCAGTTTGCGGTGGGAGTTCACAGCAGCAACTTTTGCTAGACAGGATGCTTTTTTCACTATCAATCCTGTTTCTATGGTAAGTTATAATTAAAACTAGATATTCTTCCCCCATACACCTGTGTCAGTATTTCAGTCGCAATCTGTAGATTCCAGCCTTACTGGTGAATTTTACAGTCCTTCTAAGCTACCTAACAATCCTATTTAAATAAATGGGAATTGGGCATTCAAGTCTCTAAGGCAGCCTGAGGATTTTCAACCATACTACTGTTCTGTAAGAAAAAGCTACTTATTGCAGTTGTTACACAATACAATTTATGTTAGGAATGAAAAGCCCACAATCTACAGTCCTCACAGAAACTTTGTATAAAGCTCCAAGCTATATAATCAGCTTCTTTTTTTCTGTCACTTATAACCAGTCAATTATCCTAGTGCTGGTTATGAAAATATTACACAGTTTCATTGACATATCACACTAGGAATACCCTTAATTCCATTGATACTGGGTATAACCTGTAGCAGTGATTTCTTTCAGAACGTGAGATAAATTTTGGTGAACTGTAGATACTGGTGTTGTAATGTTCTCTCCCTCATTATATCTGTAATAAAACTCTTTACCAAAACACATGTGCATTGCACATGGGGTGTTTAATCAAGCTTATTTTAAAAAGAAAAAACAATTCTGTTTCATCATACAAGTAAAATATCCTACTAGAGGGAGCTGAGCTTCCTATGCGAGAGAGTTCTATATTTATAGTAAATGTGACCACAGACAAAACTCTTCTTGCATCAGCCTCAGCCACATTTTTGGCCTAGGGAGGGTCATCTCTGTCAGATTGTAGTAGGCACTGGGCCTTGGTATGAGGAAAACAGTGTTAAGGCATTAGGAGATTTTAAAGGCATCATTAACACTTTGGATTGTGCCTTCTGTGGCGCCGCCCAGAAGCCACTGGCAATGGTGCGGCTAAAAAATATTGTAAATAAATAAATAAATAAATAAATAGGAACAGACTGGCAGCCTTTGGAGGGCAAGGGCCACCCAATCCTGTAGGCAAGCATCCACCATCCTTCCCAACTGCACTTCCCTACGTTTTTTCAGAGATAGGCCCATGTAAAAGATAATACACCAATCAAATGTGACTAAGGCATGTGTCATCATAGCCTTTTCAGGGAGGGACACTGTTGACTGAACACACATTTACTGAGTTACTACCTGGACATAGAACTGAAGCACCCTACCCTTGTCTGAAACCTACATATCAGCTTCCTCAAGAGGCAAACTAACCTATCCCCAAGAGGATGGATTCCAATTCTGGAGCCTCTTCCCAATGAGCTCTAATATTATATTTGAATTCAATATCAGTTTAAATGTATTAAACCTCATCCAGCCCATTAGCAATTCCAAGCACCTACTAAGAATTGCATCAATTTTCCTGATAGTTGAAGAGTGTGAAGTGCACGGCCCAGAATAGAAACATAAATGTAAAAGAGTTTCAAAATTAAAATAGTTAAACACTGGGGTATTGTTCCAGGAAAGGAAGAATCCTTGTTGGATTTAAAAGATTTCTGGTACCCAGACAGTGAAGAGTCCCTGCTAGAATAGAGAATATTATAAAAGGCAGCTTCTTACAGTAGGGTACAGCTTCAGATATGACCAAACAATCTGGATGGGTCCAGTGGGAGGGAAGACGTTAGCCTCCGAAGATTACCAATAAATAAATAAACATGACCATCCACAAAACAGTCACAAAAATCCAGGGCAGGATCAGTTGCACATCACCATTAATCACAGAGGACAGATACAGAAGTCCTTTAACACAAGGCCTTAGAAATATGGCTTTTTATACAAGGTCATCTCCTTTTAACCAGGGAGTGGGCAACTGAGGCTGCCCATATGCTTTTAGGCTTACTATCCCAATTCAGCATGGGTCTTTCAGACTTCTTTGACTTCAGGCCACATAATTCATCAGGAATTCCCCTAAACAGAACTCTGGGGGCTTTAGCCAATAAATCAGAGTCCCCACAATTATTTTCAAGGTCTCACAGGTGGTGAATTGACTCTCTCAGCCATTTTTGTCCTATTGGTAGGTGGGGCTAAGCTATATTGGAACTGCAAAGGAATAGGGGTCTGGTGGGTTTTTGAGACGTATCCTCTGCAGTGCCTACTAAGCAGAGACTAACAGACCTCTAATTCCTTGCAGCTCCCATGGAGGTTAGTTGCACCCACCCATATCTTCTTTCTTCTCCATAGAACAAAAATGGCTTTTGTACAGAGCCATGTGAAAGAATTTAGAAGCACCAGTGAAGACCTTGATTTCTTGACAAGAGTCCTTAGAATACTGGCCGGGAGAATTCCTTGTGAATTTTGAAGACTGAAGTCTCAAGAACTACAGAAGTCTCATGTCTAACCTCTGTCATTCATGGCCTGTGTAGCCAACAGTGAGAGATTAAAGGAGATTTTCAAAACATTCTGGAAACCCACTGCCACTGCTCCTTGTTTTAAATGTAACTTATTTTATTCCAGCTTCTGAGAAAGATGTCTGCGAATGCAGCACCAACACACCACCCTGAGTGCAACTAGTCTTATCTAATTTTGGAAGCTAAGCAGATTGGGCAATGCTTGGATGCAGTAACTATGTGCAGTACTTGCCAATTATACTGCCAAGGACCTGTGGGCAGGGATAGTAGGAAATGCTGATAGGCTTGACAAGGCAGCCCAAGGGTATGATTCAGTCTAAGGCAGCTTCCTATGTTTGATTTCTCCACATTAAATGCTTGGATTTATTTGCTAATTGGATTTTATAAAAATCCTGTAAACTCACTGGTTTGGCCAAGTCTCCTTACTTGTTGCTTTAAATCAAGGGTGGGCAAAGTGTTTTCGGACTGCAACTCTCAACATGCATCATCATTGCCTAGGCTGGCTAGGATTGCTGGGAACTGTAGCCCAACAACATCAGAAGGACCATTTACCCACTCTTGCTCTAAATCGTCTGATGTAGGAAATGGCAGTGCATTGCCTGCAAACCTTTGTGGGCAGATCTTTCCCATATTTGCAAGTCATGTTGCACTGATGCTTTGCAATAACATCTGGAATCCACAAAACATGGCAATGTTGCTAGCTTAAGGTGAAGACCTAATATTACAAAATTTGAGAGCAATGGGACTGCTCTGGAAGTGTCTTCGTTGCATTCAGTACAAACATGCATTTACCACTCCACAGGTTTG